TCCTTTCCCAATAAGTCAAACTGCTGATTTTAGAAGTTTGGCAATGTTTCATGAATGCCTTTCTGCCCAAACTGCTTTCTGCTGCAAATTGAAATACCTGCAGAGACGGTGGATATTAAGAACGCAGCCGTGACAAGCCGCAATATAATTTAATATGCTTTACAATGTGTGCACTGCACATTGCCTACCCAGCTCCCTTACCGTGTCCTGCTGGAATTTATGTCTGAACAGCAACCAGACATCTTCCCTGCATTTTTGCACTCCTTCTCCAGTTTCTGGGTTGCATCAGTTGCATTGCAGTAGCGTTTAAAGGAGAACAGTAATGGCGTGAATAATGTTGTATTTGGTTTGAAGTAGCGGGATTTATAGTATTCTTGTCAGTAAAAGTTTTTCATTGTAATAATGAGGTGCTTTCGGTGGAATGGTGGAAAAACCGTGAAACCATATGCACTTCAGAGTCAGGTGGTTTTAACATTAGACAGAGAAGTATCCAACACATACTTCACCATTTGTCATGCTTTTCTTTTTTGTTCTCATTATTTTATTTTCATAATTATTGCAACACCGAACTTGAATCTATCTAAGTGTGCTGCTGTGGTTGGTTCTAATATTGCTGGCTGCTGTGCGGTGTCATTACCTGTTGGTTACACTGTAACATGAACTTCCTCTGCTAACGAAATCGAGCCTGTTGACACAGCAACTGTTATCAGTCCGATCAGACTGATTCATTTGTTTTTGTCTAATGTGAATCGAAGCAGTTTAAACTATTTGAAAATTGCTCTCGCACTTGTGGATCTTGGATCGGCACTGTACAATAATTTAAGGACAACAAGATCCCGGTGGTTACATCACAGCTTCGAGGTGGCTCAGCAGCAGGCATCAGTCACTACAGACTAATGAAAAGGGAAGAAAAAGGATTTCATCAATGCTGCTCAGCTGCCAGTTTGCCAGAGGAGACTAAACTGTTTTGGCTGCACAAAAGAACAGATGAATAGCCCTTTCTCTTGCTTGTAAAAAGCCCAGCACATGATTGAGTTTATCTGGTAGAAGATACATGGAAACACTATCTTTTGGCTCAGCATCTCTCTGACATTCACTTTATCTGCTTCCACCTCTCTCTGTCTCTCTTTCGAGTCGTTATACGTTATAATCCCTGCCCACACAGTTACGGTCACAATGACTGCCTGTACAGTAGCATAAACCATACAACGGGACATTTATTGATACGGGATCTGCTCTACTGGAAATGCACAGCTGGCAAAGAAGCGATTTCCTCTCTAAGTGTAAAAACTGCAAGTCTTGCACTATCTTAAGTGCTATTTATATTTGAAAAAATCCCCCCTAAACTGCAGCCAATGAAGGTAGGAATGGATCACTTCAATTTGATAAAATCCTGTACAGTTTCTGGCTGAAATGCTCAAGCCTGCAAAATCAGTGTTAGTGCAAGTTGTTTGACAAAGACAAAAGACCCTACTGTAGTTGGGTTGTCAGAAGGTGAGTCCATCAGAGTGGATTCCTGGCCAATGATGCTTAAGGCTGGAAATGGCCTGGCAGGAGCCCAGACCGTACATAGCCTGAGTGCTGCTGAGTGGACACTTTAGCAATGCGGTGAGATCCGACCATTAGATGATTGCCTCTGTGGTTTTGTGAAGGGGGTGAGACTTGTTATGTCTTTAAAGTTTCCTCTGAAGGATCACGATGAGGTCTTTGATCCACCATGTTCCACCACAGCAACTCTGGAAAATCTTAAAAACGACTCTGGCACGATATGGAAAAAACACTAGCAATCTGTCATTGCAGATTTAAACGAGCGATGCCTTTAGTCAGTTCTTTAGTCTATGGTATGTAAATTAAATTGCAGCTTTATTTCCCCATAAAAAAACATCTAGTCTCTTTTTACTCTGGCATGCCGTTTCACCTCCGCTTTGCAAAGACGTGATAATACACTCTGTCAAATAGCCTGTTTGTGGCATTCTCATCGTATTAAAACCTGTATTGTAGTAATCTGGTAAACAAAAAGCCTCTGTTCTCAACATCATTATTCCAGGAATACCAGCAATCAATGTGAAGGCACCATGTTACTGCACCTGGAAATGGACGTAAGTAGCAATTTGTTGATGTGGAATTGTCTTTCAAATTCAAAAGAAAGTGCAAGTATTTGTCATTAGAATTTAAGATTGATTGTCACTTTGGCACAAGTTGTGATTAAAGAGTATGTAAGACTACAAATGTGTTAAGTGTGCAGTGTGCATTCTTTTTTTTTGTCATTGTGGAAAAAATGGAGCTGACAAACTAATATTGACATGTGAATAAAAAGCAATCAGATAAATTATAGTGTTTCAGTTTTCTTTGTTCATCCATCCTGCAGCTGATGCAACTGGAATCACAGTTACAATAAATTAAAATCTTTACTGCGCTGTTTTATTCACTTAAGGTCCTCATTTCCGGCTTCAGCCTGTGTCTCAGTACATCAAGGAAATTAAAAGGGCAAGAAAAGGGAACGGAAACCTTTGTGAATCAATTGCTGAATGATAAGGACATCTCTGTACGCTAATCAACTGTGGGGCTGCAAACTAAATCTAAACTTGGCGCTGGACCATTAAAGTTAAATGAATTGCTGTCAGTAAAAGCCACTCATTTAAGTTATGCACTCACAATATATCAAAGAAATGTTTAGGTTGTCTTGCTTGTCTGGTATAGAGAGAGTAGAATCAATAAGTTCAATAGGAGAAACAAAGATAAAGTTTAGATAAAGTGACACTTTCTTGGTGAGCTGCACACCTTTCCTGACAGGTTATGGATTATTTTATACAGTATTGAACACAGGTGATATACTGGGAAATTTAAACCACAATCACGGCTCAAAGAACGACAAAGCAGTTAGCCCATATCAGATTCTGAAGCCATGAAGACATTTGTGAAGCCTGAGAGTATTAATCACACTGACACTGCCGTTCCAACATAAACACCCTCAGTGTATAACTAATGATGTTTCATCATTTCAGTTGCACTTTAGTCCTAATTAGCAAACATTAGCATGCTAACACAGTTAACCCAAGATGTTGAACTTTGCAAACATTAAAAGTGCTAAACCCTGTCACTGTGAGTTGTTAGCATGTTGCTGCTGTTACTGCAACTTCTGCATGTGTGTGTCCGTTTCATGTTTTTGAGAGCATGAAATGTCCACAGTGTACCGTGATGTCTGTTACATGTTCTGCCGTGATACTGGGTTGACTGTTAGTATTTGGTGGTCCCATACAGAAGCACTAGCATATGGCTCTAGAGTGTTTTTTTTTTTTTTTTTTTTTTTTTTTAAATGACATCAGAAACAGCAGTATGCGACATTACGTGATAGCAGAGCTTCAGTTCATCCTTTGTCATTTTTTTTTTTTTTTTTTTTTTTAATAAATAGGACAGGGGGAATGAATGAGAGAAAGAGGGGGAGAGAAAGAAAGAAAACCAAAGGGGAGAAGAGACGGTGAGAGGGGGGGGGAAGAGAGAAAAAAAAAAAAAAGAACTCCTGGGTCACCTGTATGGAGAAAAAAAACAAACAAAAAAAACAAACAGAGGAGACAGCAAACAACAAAGAGCAACATAATAATAGAGAAAACAAAGCACCATCACAATAAACTAGCTAGTCATAGATATCAATATTTACTAAATAATAAACGATATTGTGCAGCACGCAAGATAGACAGCGCACAGTGTGCTTTGAGGCAGCAGCCAAGAAAGCTTTAGTCCGCGTCTGTGAATACCCATGTGTGCATACCTGTGTGGATCAGCATGCTTGCATTCCAAAGGTTTCTCCATGTAATGATCTGCTAGGGAGTGTGGGGGGGCCACAGAGTGTTCTCTAGAGTGTTTACACTTTCACAGTGTTTCAGAACAAACAAATCAGTCATTGACTTCTATAAAACACACTTTTCCCTAAACAGATATCAGGATTGGACATCGTCTTCAGTCTGACTTTGTGTTTTGCTCGTCTGTCTTAGGATATTTGTTGTGGTTTGGAGTGTACATGATGTGCTGCAAACAGAGCCAATGTTTTCAGCCATCTGCCTTCCCTAATATGAGCCATAAATCTTTATGGAATTTGGCTCATACCTTTTTGGATTCGGTAAAAACTGCAAAATTTCCTCGCAATTATTTTATTTCCTAAACTGTTATCTGCTTCAACTGACTGGTGATAAATCTTGATGGGCTTTTTTGCATGGGTAATTACACATGAATTACCCATTAAGATAAGAAATGTGCATTGTCCAGAGGATAGCTTGGAAATATCTTGGAAATTGACCTTTCTTTATCAGTTATTTAACCCAGAGGGAGTAGTCCCAGTTTCTCGTTAATCGTCCCCCCTCCACCATGAAGTTCTGTCCTGCGGTATTAACTGTCAGTATAGGCAATTTGTACACAAGATATCAGCCGCTGTGTTTATATTGCTTGTTTATCCAAGTAAACTGAACAGACCCATTTGTGGAAGAGCTAAGTTGGGTCATATCAGCTCAACTCAGAAGCCTTAAGGAAAGGTTATTGAGACTGGGTGAAGGTGATGACTCTGCAAGCCCCAGGTTGTCGAAATTATCCAGACAAAAGCGTATGCTCTGATAATAATTGTACCCAAAGAAACACATGCGTGTTGCTCTTACTGTTTCCCTTTTTCACTGTGGCAATTTTTTTCCACTGTTGTGGTTTATGTTACAGAAACATGTCTTTAACCTCAGCTGAGAATTTTGTACCTTAATGTTATAGTAGAAAAAGGGTCAATTTAAGAAAGGGGAAAGGTGGATTGAAATTAATTGTTCATATTTTACTAATATTCATTCATTTACTTGGAAATGGACTAGTATTTGTACAGAGTTCCCAATCTCAATCACCAATAAAAGCTTTAACTACAGTATTGTTAGAAAAGAAAGACTTCACAGGACTCTATACATGTGAAGTAGTCAGACTCGAGCGTCAAGGAAGGTGGTAGAGAAGCAGACTACGCAGACATGTCGGGTTTCCAGAGGTGAGCAATTTATTTACAATGAACTCTATTTAATAAAACTTCCCCCCCCAAAGTAACTCAGTTAACAAAACTCAACGGTACATGGCTCTGGTAACACAGCTCACCTCTCCTCTCTCATCTGAATATGGCAGAGACTGGCAGCCCTTCAATTAGCCCAGCCAGTACCACTCACTTGAACTGAGGGATCTAAAACTTTACACAGATGATTAAAAAAGACAAAACCTCCTCACACGTCTAATTAGCACATTTACACAACTAAATGGCTCTATTAACAAAAAGAAAAAGATTCAACAAATCCCTTCAGAGGAAGCATTTCTATGGAAAAAGAAACCCCTCCACTTGGTTCGACCTGCTGATGTCATGTGTGATGTCATCAGGACTTAAAATGAGGAAATGCTAGGGGGCATTTTCCCACACCTGACCCTCATGAAGACTGAAAAGAAAGAACAAAGTAAGTATGAACAAATGACTTAATCTGTAACACAATAAAATTGCAGAATGTTTGTTTTGCCGGCCACAGAACGCTTACACAAACGAACCCGGGATAGTTAGTGCAGCAATGTTACTTGACAAATAGCAAATCATAGCAAATAAATAGAAACAGAATAATGTGCAAAAAAAGGTCAACACATATGGGACAAATGGAGAGCATTGCAACTGCTCAGCCACTTTGTCACAATACAGGCTTGTGAAAATGTAAATACACCTTTACTGCTTCCATGGGAAGCACCTAGCTGCAAGTAGCAGGTAGCCACTACTAGCTGCCTCTTGGTGTTGCTAATCAAATGCACTTGATTGACTGATCATAAGCAAGTGTCAGCACCTCTATAAAAAGAGTTTGGCAGTTTATTGGTCTGGAGCATTTAGGTTTGTTTCAACACACAGTTGTGGAAAGTTCATGACAGCACAATTAGAAATATTGAACAAGCATAGTGTGTTTGGAAGAGTTACCAGAAGAAGGTCTCTTCTCTCTGATAAGAAATCACCGGATTGGCTTAGGTTTGTAAAGTTGCATCTGAATAAACCACAAGACTCCTGGAACAATGTCCTTTGGACAGACCAGACCAAAGTAGAGATTTTGGGCCAGTAATACATAGCGCCACATCTGGCAAAAATCAGCACAAACACCTCATATTACCTGTCAAGCATGATGGTGGGGGCGATGATAGGCTTAATTTATAGCCAAAGGAATTTGGGACCTGGCAGTCATTGAGTTGACCATGAACCTCTCTATATACCAAAGTACTTTAGAGTCATCCATCCAATCCATCCAAGAGCTAAAAGTCAAAACCGGGTCATGCAACAGCATAATGATCCCAAGCACAACACCAAAAAATAAAAATCAAGGAGTTACCATGACCCAGTCAAAATTCATCAAAGTTCAACCCCACTGAAATACTGTGGCAAGACCTTAAGAGATGACTCCCTGCAAAACTTCAATAAACTGAAGTCCCTTTACCAAGAAGCGTGGACCAAAAGTCAACCACAACAATATGAGAGACTGATAAAGTACAACAGAACTTCAAGTTATTGGTGATAAAGCTGGTTTGAAAAGCTGAAGCCACTGACTCACAGGGTGCACTCAGTTTTTCCAGGACTGCTTTGAGTTCTGTAAAAACAACTTTTTTTGATCTCATATGTGCCCAACAAACCAAGCACTCTCAGAGAACTCACCAGGCACCGGCAGAGTAAAGATTCAAACCCAGAACCAAGGTGCAGGCAAGACAGAGAACAAAACTTAATGTATCGGTAAGGTCATATAACCCCATATATGGTACCTTTTAAACTGTAAGAAGTATAAATATGTACTGTTTGGCGACGTGTGCCTTTTGGCCTTTTAGAACCTACACGTTGTAACCTTGAGGTGTAAGAATTAACCCTTGGGGATACACTCATGCTGACTGTACCTTTTAAGGTCATAAATTGAATTTCAGTGTACCCCTATTTCTGAGAGTGTAGAGATTTTCCTTCAGGTCCAGCTGCACCGTGCTCATCCCACACTTATTTTCCGTCTCCAGTGAAAATTTATTTTGGGGTGCTTTAAACACATCAAAGGTTCTCTGCTCTTCGGAAAACGTCTTAAATTTTGAAAGGAGACACCTATAGTATAGTTAAAAGCAGGAAAAAAATAAGAGACATTCAGGAATCTATGGAATGCTTTTCCAGTAAAGAAAATATGCAAAGAAAACAACATTTCTTTTGGGAAGAGACACTCGTTCAGGATCTGTTTGGATAGCCTGGACATGTGACATTGAAAAGATATGGCACACGTTGATATTACCGAGTGCAACCAGAGAGTGCAGGTCCCTGAACTCTCTGGTTACACTAGGCCCCCCTTTAAAAAAAAAAGCTGTCAGTATATATCAAACTAGTTTTTCCTCATAAAAACATTATGCTCTTAGAGTCCCCCTCTGCCGTTCTTGCATTTAAAAATATCTATAACGCAGCTGTGGCTTAGCTGGTATGTGTGTTGCTCGAGTTGAAGGTCATTACCCTGTACGAGTTTCCGTCACATCCCCATAGACATGGACATTTTGTAGCATCAAGCAGCTGAATAAGTGTTCATCAAGAATAAAACCATAAATTCTTAAAGTACAAATGGCATAAAAATCACTTTTTTAAAAAAAAATAAAAAATTACACATCCAGTAGATTTAGAGCAATTCAGTCTGCAGCCCATTTGTACCCATGTTTCTAACTTTGTTCTGAATGTAAATCGTTATTTGCTCACATTTAGCTCTGTTTTGTGCTTCACCAATCCCTCTCCAGGGAATAACTGGCTCTTCAGTTGCTTAATGGTGCACTTTGTTCACCAGCTATTTCCAGACTGTACCTGTCTGCTGTTTGGTGCAGTGTTTTAGAACTTCTGCCATTTTCCTCTTTGGTTACCGGTAAAAAAAAAAAAAGATTTAAAAAAACCTCTGTAGTTATTATTTTTGTATCTACTAACTCATAGTGCATATAAAAAAGGCCGATTACATCTGATTTCAACTTGTAAAACTTGCACTGCTGACCTCCCTGTGTATTCTTGTGCTGGAGTTATCCAGCCTTTACCTCTATAAAGACACAGGTTAGTGTAAAACTAACAAAAATCATAGTTTAAATGAAAAGAACTGCAAAAACAGACCCCAGGTTGAAGAATCCTGAACTTTAATTGATAATCTGATCACCTTTAAATAGTCAGGCCGTCAAGGCAGATGAGTTCTTCTGCTGAGCGAGAGAATCGGCGTGCGTAGTACGGCAAAAAAAGAAAAAAGCTTGTAAATGAAAAGGCTCACAATGAGGTTAAGAGTGCATCAGGAGATTATGAAGGTCGTGCTGTGTTGTGATATCCCCCAACAGTCAGCTGGAAGGACTCATCGCATAAAGTCTAAGAAGAGAGATGCTTTCCTTAGTAGACAGAGATATCGTTCCCAAGATTAGATGGGAAAAATTATTGGGTCACATACTTTTTGTTTTTGTAGCTACTTAAAAACCTCAGCTTCACAATACGAGTACACTGAGCTTGTCCTCACTCGCTAATGTGGAATTTCTGCTTTTTGTTATCTACATCTGCTCCAACAAACTGGAAAATATACGTTCTAGTTTGCTTACACGCTGAAACGCAACATGAACAGCAGAAACGTTTGCTTCAGGCGTTGTGATAATCTCAGAGTCTTTCAGGGGGACGTGCCAAGAAGGAAAAAGGACACGAATCTAAATAAACTTTGCATGGAAGTTTGTAAATAAGTCCCAAAATAAGGCCTAACAGATAGCTCTCTTGACACTGACCATGGCCAAACCTCTGTGAGGAGGGAGATATTTTGATCCTGAGAATCGTTGTGTACCGTGAAATCCTCCGGTGGCAAAGAGAACCAGGGACTTTCTGTAGCTGATCGAAAAATAGGTCTGGACCCATTCAAAGTCACTGAGAACCCAGTGGATTATCAGCATTCGCTGAATTCCAAATTGTGAGACATGCTGTTTTGAAGGGAGGAAGGTTCAGGGCTGAAGCAATCAGCTTCATGGGCTCATCCGGTTAGAATAAGAAAAGCAGCCATCTAATGCAGAATTATTTTCAGGGTACTCCTTTTATTCTCAAATAAATAAGGCAAAAAAGGAAGGAAACAAAGACACACATGGACTGCCAATGCTGAAAGAAAACAGAGATTCAAGTTACTCATTACCTTAAACAATACATAAAATAAAAACCCCAAACAGAACCTCACCTCAGCTGCCGCCCCGTGTGGAAGTGCGGAAAGAGTGAGCCAAAAGTGAATGCAGTCCTTATATACTGTGTGACATATAATGTGTGACAGGTGAGTGCAATCAAGGACAAGCACCACACCCAATCAAAGGTGAGAGAACTAAACAAGGTGCATCTGGTGAAGTGAGTGGGTGTGCTGGGATGTGCTAAAAGGTGGGTCTCTACAACAGCCGCCCCCATATTTCTAGTGAGAAATATGTTGATATGATCAGGATCAGTCTTCGTCAGGAAGCGAGGGCAGGGGGATCAGACAGGAGACAGGGCGGATATAGGTTTTATCCTGTACTAAGACCTCCACAGTTCTGATGTGGTCATCTGGGCTTTTCAGCAAGTGCGTCACTCTTCCTACAGGCCAAAGGGCACGTGGAAGGTGTGAATCCATAATCATGACAACAGAGTTCAATGTGAGATCTGGTTTTTCCTTCTGCCATTTGGGTCTTCTTTGGAGGGATGGTAGATAGTCTCTTATGAAGTGTCGCCAGAAGTGATCTGCCAATATTTGTGCATGTCGCCATCGTCGTCGGCCTAGGAGGTCAGAATCAGAATAGGATACCAGGGGAAGTGATGAATCATGTCGGCCCATAAGGAGAAGGTTTGGGGTTACGGGGTCAATGTCCGCAATGTCTGAGGATACATAGCCTAGGGGTTTTGAGTTAAGAATGCCTTCAATCTCAATTAGGACTGTTCTTAAGACCTCTTCAGTGACCATCTGTGCACCAATGGTTCTCTTCAGAGCATTCTTCACAGAACGTATCTCCCTCTCCCAGGCTCTGCCGAAATGGGGTGCATGTGGGGGATTGAATTTGAAATGGATTCTTTTAGTCATTAGGACCGGCTGCAGAGTCGGAGCAAGGTTGTTAAAAGCTGCCCGTAGTTCCTTATCTCCTCCTTTGAAGTTAGTTCCTTGATCACATATAATTTCCAGGGGTGTTCCTCGTCGAGAAATGAATCGTTGGAGGGCCATGAGGAAGGAGTCTGTATCCATACTGTTTAGGAGGTCAAGATGTATACACCGAGTGGTGAGACATTTGAATATTATTCCCCACCTTTTCTCCGATCTGCGGCCTGTCTTGACCTTGTATGGTCCAAAGCAGTCTATTCCTGTGGAGTAGAAAGGTGGTTTGAATAACCTAAGACGAGCAGCAGGCAAGTCTGACATTTTTGGAATGATGGGCTGTGCTCTCCATTTCTGATATGCGACGCAGCTATACCGATGCCTGCGTACGGCTTCCCTTCCTCTGAGAATCCAGAATTTCCGACGTAGTTCAGCAAAAAGTCTTTCTGAACCAGCATGATGCAGTTTGTCATCATAATTTTGTATGATCAGTTTGGTCACTGGATGAGCAGGATCAAGTACTATTGGGTGAATGACATTCAATTCCAAGTCTGGGCTTTGCCGTAGTCGGCCTCCTACATGGATAAGTCCAGAATTCCTGCACAACACTGGTGACAAACACAATAGACGGCTGTCAGATGAGAGGGGTTTGTCTGACTGTAAACGGGCTAAATCTTCACCGAAACTGTCCAGTTGTGCCTGACGAAGGATTTCTTGTTCTGCTGTTTGATAATCAGCTGCAGAAGGAATGTTACCCTTTTGGTTGGAGAGTGAATGAGCCGTGAAATCCAATAGCTCTTGATACGTTCTGAAGCTGGGTGTGTATGTATGGGAGGGTATACTGACAATACCAAAAAAGTAGGATTTCTTTAACTCAGTCTGATCATCATCAGGATGGAGATCTGTAACTGTGGGCCAGTTATTTGGAGGTTCATGCAGAAACGAGGGACCCTCGGTCCACCTGTTTGAGCTAAGGAACTCTTTCAGGGATTTACCTCTCGTAACATCATCAGCAGGATTTGTGGCTGAATTGATGTATCTCCAGTCTTGACTGTTTGTGAGGTTTTGAATTTCTGAGACTCTGGCTCCTACGAATACCTTGAAACGGCAGGAATCTGACTGAAGCCAGTGAAGTACAGTTGTCGAGTCAGACCAAAGGGTGGTAGTCCTGACTGGTAAGGTGAGTTCTGTTTGTATGAGCTCACAGAGGCATGCGCCTAGTAGGGCTGCGCATAGCTCCAGTCTGGATATTGTTAAATTCCGTTTAGGAGCAACACGTGAGCGAGCTAACAAGAAACTCAGTTCCACGTGACCTTCAAGATCATCTGATCTCAAATATGCGACAGCACCATACGCTCGCTCCGAAGCATCACAGAAGATATGAATGTCTCGAACTGTGGTAGAAACATCCATTTCCTTAGAAGTATAGCAACGTGGGATGGCAATTTGTGGGAGATAACAAAGTTCTTCTTCCCAGGACTTCCATGCCTCTAAGAGGTCGTGTGGAAGGGAGGGGTCGTCCCAATCTCTCTCTTTTCTCCATAGCTCTTGCACCAAGGTTTTGGCGCGTGTTGTGAATGGGAGTAAGTAGCCTAATGGGTCATACAGACGAGCAAGTACTGCATAGATACGACGCATTGTGGTGGGGTGTGAGGCTAGAGTTCTGTATTTATAGGCAAACAAATCAGTCTCACAATTCCACAATAATCCTAATGTGCGTTCAGGTGGGCCAGATGGCTTGTCTTCAGTCAGGCAAAGTTCATTACTTGCCGTTCTTACCTCAGATGGTAGATGGCTAATCACAACAGGATTATTGCTGGCCCACTGGCGAAGGTCGAAGCCTCCTTCTGATAGATGGTTTCTTAATTTGTCTAGGAGTGTTCGAGCTAACTCTGCTGATGGAAAACTCTGCAAGCAGTTATCAACATAGAAACACTGCATTACTGAAGACTGCACATCTTTGTCAGATTGATATTCCTTCACATGTTTCTGCCGTGCATAGATTGCACAACAAGGGCTGCAGGTCGTACCAAAGGGGGGTACCTGCCACTCATACACTGAAGGGGGAGCTGCTTTGTTCATGTCACGCCACAGGAATCGGAGGAGTGGTTTATCAGGAGGCAGAAGACAGACTTGGTGAAACATGCCTTTGATGTCGCCACTTATTGCCACTGAATGTTGCCTAAAACGCAACAAAACACCAAGAAGTGTTGGGCCTAGGATTGGTCCTGGCAATAGGTACTTATTGAGACACTGACCTTGAAATGTGAAAGAGCAGTCAAAGACTATGCGATCTTTATTGTTGTGACTTGTCATATGATGAGGGATATACCAGGTTTCTTTGCTATTGTGCATCTCCTCTGGGCTAAGTTTGACAATATAGCCTGCTTGCTCCAATTTCAAAATCTGATCCTTGTAAGACATGGCTTTGCCAGGATCTTTAGCTAACCGAGCCTCAGTGTTGCGGAGTCTAGACATGACTACATTTGGAGGGACATTCAAAGGAGGAAAGTTTGCCATCCGAAGAAGAGGAGTGGCGTAGCGATTAACACCATTGATCTCAACCCTTTTTGTGGCCTGTTCAAGGAGTTCCAGTGCCAGTTGATCTTGCTTTGATCGGATCACAGATTTCTCACTGTATTCAGGTAAAGTGTCTAGTTGCCATAGCTTCAACATGATAACGCAGTACATCTGCAGATGAACTGAGAGATGTGAACAAACACTGCACGTGCTCTGTACTGCTCTGGGGATGAAAATCTGTGATCGGGCCTTGAAGTGTCCATCCTAATTGGGTTTTAACTCCTGCAGGAGACCCATATGGTCCCTGTCTCAATGGAGCAGTAGGCGTGATGAGGTGAGTATGATCTGAGCCTATGAGCAGGAGTGGCGCTGCTTTATTAATAATGGGTAATGGGATACCTTGAAGATGCTTGTATCTCCGTTGGAGAGATGATACAGGGTAGGTGTGGTCTGAAAGTGCTAGGTGATTTGCAGTGAAGGCATTAGTAATTGTGTAGGTTTTCTCTGGGTGTGCGATGGGTGAGATTTTGAAACTTACGGAAGAACCATGAATAGTTTCAACTTCTTGACGGACCGTTCTAAGTGATAATCTCTCTGCTTCCCCAGTTAGGTTGAGATGCTGTGCAGCTGATGTCAGAAGAATGGTACGCTGGGAGCCATCGTCAAGTACTGCATATGTTTCAAGGGTTCTTTTGCCATTTCGCAGGAGCACTTTCACGACCTTTAAAAGGACACTAGGACAATCACTAGGTCTATCAAAGTATAGCGTCCTCACTACAGGATGAGTGTCAGTTTTAGATCTCTTATTTACATCGCATAGGATCTGGAGATGTAGTCCCATACAGGTGGCACATGCTTTCTTCAGGTCACACTTTGCGGCCTGATGATTCCTAGCACAATGCCAACACCGTTTGTTTACTTTTATCCAGTTTGTTTTCTCATCCTTTGTCTTCTGAATAAACCCAGGACACTTACTAATGTGATGTTCTGGTGAGCAGCAATATGCACATGTAGCCTTAGTTGTCATGATCGGCTGTGTTGCATGTACAGAATCATCAGATGTATTTGCTTCATGTAATATTGTTGTAAGTGGAGAAGCGTACTTACGGGCAGGTCGTGTCTGGTTGAAGGATGGAACAGGACTGGCCTTCTTTGGTTGACACCTGCATTCCATTTGCAACCAGGACGAGAACAAAGGCAAGGTATACGTCATTTCTCCCTGTTCCCTGTAAACATGCCGTTTGAAGCGACTGAAATGCTCTGCAGGCAACTTCACTAACAAGCGATCGACATGGGAGCCACAGTCTAGTTCTGCACGTCCTTGTTCTCCCATAGTGCTAAGCAACCCAACTAAAGCCTGTACTCGAAGAGCAAAATTATCAAGGCTCTGACCATCACCTGCTCTGATAGGAGGCAGTTCCAGTATATTCTTTAGCTCTTTCAATGCCAGCTGTCTTGGTTGCCCATAACGCTCATCAAGGGCTTTGATGGCTTGAGTGTATGGGTCAGGAGCGTAGGAAAAGGCAAGAGCTAATCGTTTAGCTTGGTCTACTTTGAGGTGATCAAGAAGGACATGATATTTGAAGTGCTCTGTCTCATGAGGATCAAGAAGGTTTGTAAGGGCCATCCGTAACATCCTGTATTGCATTTCGTCTTCTCTACTAAGGTCTGGAAATGAAGGACCTTCAAGCTTATATACATGTGTTCTCGTGCTAGAGGAGTGACCCGAGCTAGCAGTACCAGATATCAAAGGTTTCTGTTCATATGAGGTATTGGATGTAGCTGGTTGCTGCTCTAGAGGAGGGCAATGCTTGTGGTCAGATATGCAAATGAGAGGTTGAACAGGGTCTTCAGCTAAAGGAACAGCAGGTTGAACACATGAGATCTGGTCGGGATCCTGCCGTGATAAGGCCAGGAAATCAAAGGGAGTCTCATCTTCTGTAGCAAGGACTGGTCTAGGCAAACCAGTTGAAGGGATAGCAGCATCTAGTATTGTTGAATTAGGTAAAGGAGGGCTGGCAGCTGCAACTAGGCCAGACTGACGGCTAATCTGCGGGGGCTGGAAGGGTGATTGACAGGTTACTGTATCAATCACTGGGAGCTGCTCATGTTGTTGATGTGTTTGAGGACTGGCTCGTAAACTGCATACAGAAGCTTTTATTCCATCAGATGAGACTGTGCGAATTGAAGATCTGGAGCTACGAGAATGGGAAGGAGATGATTGAACCATAAATTGCTTAATCTCCCTCATGGTCGTTAGGAGTTCCCTCATGACCTCATCTTGGGTGGTGGGTAAAGGAACAAGGGATGTCTCTGGTGGTCTTTCTGACTCTCCGACAGGATCCTGCAGCCCATGTGTGTCTTTATCACTGTGCTGGCATTCAGTTTGGCTCTCTGTCTCACATGTAACTCTTCTAGCTCCAGGGTACTGAACTTCATACTGTTGCAGGTAGGCAGGAGGTCTACTATCACGACTGGATCTTCTAGATGGCTGCTGTGTATCCATGATGCTAATACCTCTCCGGCTCGGAGGACCATGTTTTGAAGGGAGGAAGGTTCAGGGCTGAAGCAATCAGCTTCATGGGCTCATCCGGTTAGAATAAGAAAAGCAGCCATCTAATGCAGAATTATTTTCAGGGTACTCCTTTTATTCTCAAATAAATAAGGCAAAAAAGGAAGGAAACAAAGACACACATGGACTGCCAATGCTGAAAGAAAACAGAGATTCAAGTTACTCATTACCTTAAACATTACATAAAATAAAAACCCAAACAGAACCTCACCTCAGCTGCCGCCCCGTGTGGAAGTGCGGAAAGAGTGAGCCAAAAGTGAATGCAGTCCTTATATACTGTGTGACATATAATGTGTGACAGGTGAGTGCAATCAAGGACAAGCACCACACCCAATCAAAGGTGAGAGAACTAAACAAGGTGCATCTGGTGAAGTGAGTGGGTGTGCTGGGATGTGCTAAAAGGTGGGTCTCTACAACACATGCATTTAAGCCTCCAAGTCCAGCTCCCACTGGAAACTAATTTCAGGTGCTTTTACTCGCCAGTGATCAAGAAAAGATATCAAAACCACTTCTGCTTACTGTCATTCATCACTTTGGTGATTTATGGCTCATCCCAGGAGTAAGGTCTGAAGGAAAATACTTGGGGATCCGCAAAACTTTTCTTTATCCTCGATTCATGAGAGGGTCTTACATTAATATCTGCTCATAGAAATCGATGTGCTTTCCCTGTGAGGATATTATCAGTTATGTAGCCCAATAAAAACAAATCTCAGCTGGGTTTTTGGATGTCATGAAACTGTGAGCGCAGATGCTTGGAGCATATAAATATTTAGGAAAAGCTCAGATTCTTCAATGTTGGGAACACATGGTTGCAGTTACGCTGGGAGAGATACTAAACATGCACAATGACAAATGTGTTTGTATATGTATGTTTTATTTATTTTAACTTGAGTGCATCTACTGCATGTGTGTGGCATGTGCATGTCTACAGGACGTGTGGGTACGACTGGACACTGTGTCTCCAGGAAGTTGCCACATCCAGCCGAGAAATATTCCAGAGCTTCCGCGGCAGAAAAATGCAGTTTTTCAAATTGAGGTTTTTTGGACGCATTAAACAAACCACATACGAGGTGTGAGTTTTAGCGGTGCTGCTCGATTGATTTTGTTACCTTTGGACGGAACTGTTCTTGGACGTGCCTTTGTATTTACTGCACGACTGTAAGATCGGAATTTTACTGCTGGAAAATGTACTTTTTAAAAATGCAAATATCTTTTAATGAATGGATGTTAAAGCAACGTGCTGTTCTAATTTAGTTTGCTCAGTTTTTAACACAACATAGATCTAATTATACTTAATAATTTCTCAGCTAACCCTATTTAATTGTAGAATTAATTTAATTTTCAGAAGACTGAGATATTCTGTTTGTCCTTCAGTCCTTAGAAGTATCTTATATCAGGAACACTGGCTGAAAGCATGTCTATTTAAAGCCCCACTGAGCTTTTGATGCAGAAAAAAAGCATACAATGCCATTTACTTCACCAGAACCTAATAAAGAATACAGTCAGGCTTTCAGATAGGGTCTCTTTTTATTTCATCCTCCTTTGTCATTCTGTCTTCTTTTAAGTGACTGCCTCTTGGCCAGGACTCCCTTGAAAAAGAGGTCTTTGATCTCAACGGGACATTCCTGGTTAAATAAAGGTTAAATAAAATTTAAAAAAAAAGTCAAACCTTTTTTTTTTTTTTTTTTTATTGGAATGAAAATGTGCCATTCAATTTTAGCTCAGTTAATGCATCAATGGCCTGCATGATACTAATTTCAAGGGACATTGGTTCTTTTGGTGAGCTGCAGTGTAAAAGCTCAATAAGTTGGGATTCATTTCCACTGACAGCGTGTTAGCGATGACTTTTTGAGCAATGAAAGGATTAATCACATATTGCTTTTACTTGCTTTGAAGTTTGGTGAAAAACTCTCGAAATATATTCTGGCAAGATGGGGAAATTGTTTAACACCAACTGACATTAAACTGACAAAGACAAATATATTAAATGCTCTAAAGACACAGGTAATCAGGGACTGTGATCGCTCAGACACAAGGCTCTGAGCTGAAACCACCCTGATGAGCAGCAGACCGACCCACCCGTCAGTGTTTTCTATTTTATCTGGGCTTCTGACCTCTGAACAGCTTTTTGATGAAAACCGCTCATATTATACATTGCATATATTATGATATATATGTATGTGTATGTGTATGTGTGTATATACATATATATATATACATATATATATATATATATATACATACATATATATATATATACATACATATATATATATATATATATATATATATATATATCTGCTCTATTCATCCGAGATCTGGTGAGAGTGACGGTGAACTTGTGGTCATGTTCAGAAAACCAGTCTGGTAATTTTTGTTTCTTAACATGGCATACTATCTTGGAGCCATTAGAAGACGGATGGACATGGTCAGCAACAATGCTTGAGTAGAATGTGGCATTTAAACCATGCCCAATTAGTATTAACATGATCCCCACATCACTACACCGTGGACAGCCTGAACCATTGATGCAAAGCAGGATGGATCCATACTTTCATGTTGTTTATGCCAAATTCTTACCCTACTATCGAGGGTGGTAGGGTCAGAAATCGAGATTTTTATCAGACCAGGCAAAATTTTTCCAATCTTCTGTTGTGCAGCTTTGGTGAGCAGTGAAAACTGTAGCTCAGTTTTCCGTTCTGAGCTAACAGACATGGCATCCGGTGTCGTCTCCTGCTGCTGTAGCCCATCTGCTTCAAGATTTGATATGCAGTGCAGTCAGAGCTGCTCTTCTGCAGTCCTTACTATTGCCTTCTTATCAGTTCAAAACAGTGTAGCCATTGTCCTCTGACCTGGCATCAACAAGGCATTTTCACCCAGATAACTACTGGCATGAATATGGCTAAATGCATTAAAATGCTGCCATGTGATTAGCTGATTAGATATTTGCATTTAAACAGAAACTTAATAAAGTGGCCAGTGAGTGTATCGTAACCATTTCTTCATGTCCTTGCTATTGCGAGCTAAAACACAACCCGAAAGAACTCATTACTCTACACAGAAACAAACTTTGAACAGCTTCAGTTCAACAGCCTCTTTTTCTATAGCGACGCAAACCTCTTCCTACAAGGGGTACAGTATGAAAGCCTTTTTTTTTAAAGGCATTTTGACAAGTTACAATGTAAACCGTTTCACTGTCAGGGGGCTGCTATATGCCACTGTCACACTGTCAAGGCTGTGACACTCGAATCAAGCAGAGCCATCACACATTTTATTAGTAACACCTGTTCTTTTCCTACCACGACCAGTCAAGTGTCAGCTGGGAGAAAGGCCTACACTAACAGTGCAATTTCACATTAGACTCACTTGAATGTTTTCTCAGATAATAAAGACCACCTGCTTTTAAGGACCTTGGCTGTTATTCATCTCCACAGACACACACAGACAGACACATGAACAGGGAGGCTGTAAATTAAAAATGAGTAAATGATTACAGGAACAAAATGAAGGTGGTGTCCAAAGATGTTCCTGAATGGTTTAACGATTATGACCAGGACCCAAACTAACTGAAAACCTGAGAGAGATTTTTACTCAAACCATTACACAAATGTCAAATGAGAGAACTTATTGAGACACTCCTAACCATCCCTGCAACAAAGTACAGTTACTTTGACATTGTTATGTTGTTGACCAACACCTTTCCACTGCAAGTTGGTCTTCAGTGCAGTTTGTCAGCTATCTAAACTGGTTATGAAATCCCCGAATTACACACAGTTGGAAGTATTTATTCCATATCACTGACTATAATTAGTGAGTGATTTTAAAGATCTCTAAAAGAGACAAGCCTTGTAAACGTATTTCAAATATATAAACGTTTGTTCATATCTAATCTGGCACTCTGCAATTGGTCAACATTAGTAGGAGGGCGTAAACTTAATTACCATGCTCAAAATCTACAGGGATCTGCTATTCTAGACCAAAGTGTAGTGATGTAGTGGTTGTAATTTTAGTGTCAGTGTTAGCCAGCAGTAATTGCTTGCAGACCACAGTCCCCGTGGTTGACTGAACTCAGCAGGCCCATGGCAGCTGCTGCACTGCAGCTCGTTTTGTTTGTTTTTTTTTCCCTTTCTCTGCTTGTCTCAGTTAAGTCTGAAAAATGTTTGCCGACTCGGTTGCAATGAGCAATGTTCTTGGCCATGACAATTCAGGGGAGGATCGCATCATTCTGAAATTTTTAGGACAATCTTAACTTTTCTATGATTTATTTCATGTGATCCACAACAAGAAGCGCCTTTACAGATATATTTTACAGCACCCTTTCAACTTCACTGACTACTGCTGAAAAATACAACCTTGAGGGATATACAAGTTTGGATTCCCTCAGGACCAAGAGATGCTGGAACAGCATCCGGCCTCAAAAATTACGGAAATT